ACAGATGGCACAGCCCGATCTGTCGGTGGCTACGAGGAGCGGATGAGCGACGACGGCTCGGCAAGCCTCGTAGGCTTTGGCGAAGGCGCCAACAGTACCGTCTCCGGTCCCATCTACCACCGCCGGCCGATTCCTGGCCTGGTGAACGCGCAGAGTGGTTCCGGTGTGCAGTGGGGGCTGGAAAGGAACAATTCGGGACTCAGCGACACGCCGAGAAGCCGCGGGGATGTCATCATGGGCGGGGACACACCAACAAGTGCTGCAGCGATGCAGCAGCGGAGGGACGCCAAGTTTGCGGATGGGTTCGCTGCCGAAAGCGGCCGTGACGAAGATATGTTCGTAGATCCGAGCAACCGCACACCAGGGTCGGCGGGGCAGTCTCCATTCACTGCGCAGCCGCCTGGAGCCCAGCAGGCGTTTATGCCGGGGCGGATGCCGACGTCGACCGCGCGGGACGCCGTCGAACGCATGGTCGGCGCCGGCGGGCTGGATGGCAGTGAACCTAGAGGTGCAGCCCAGCCAGGGCAATTCGAGTTCGAGGAACGCAAGTAGATGCGTGGTGGCCGTCTGCATTGGCTCTTGGACCGGCGCGTGTCACGATTATGTCTTGGGTAGGGTGACTTGTGGCGCGGGATCTGTTTCTTTGGAGAGACGCGGAGATGCAGGAAGTCGCGTCGAGGACAATGGTAACGGCATGTACCTTGGTGAGACGAGGTTTTGCAGACCGCCGGTCCCGTTTAACGTCTATATGCTGACGAATTGAGAGGTGAACCAATCCTCAAGATTTGCTTCCTCGTCTGCATCTTGAAGTTGACTACGCCTTTCGTGTTGCTGGTGCATCACTGAGTATTTACGAGGATATTCTAGCGCCTACTGAAAGGGTCGCTGCCCGTTTTATTGCCTTTTCATTGTGGAACGGCAACTGCCCTTTGGGCGCATGCCTCAATCAGTCAAGATTGATTGTTCTTTACAAAAGGCCAGTACCCATCATTTTGCCTCTAAACTATTTCCCTAGTGGTTCGACCTTGCACTCGATCGACTTGAATCACCAATATCAAGGCCTTAGCAGGTGGTCAGCACGATGAAGCAACCCATGGCCAGACGCGTGAGTTTCAAGCTGAACCTTGCAGACATGACTTGATCACAACTAACCGATCGTCGATGCAGGTGAGAAGGTCGTCATTATCAACCATGCCCAAACAACCTACTGGAAACAAACAGCGGGTGAACCGTCGCCGAGACTCTGCCGACATCAGAGAAGCCGCCAGAAAAACACGTGAGAGACAGGCGCGCGCAGAGGATCGATCTGCCGTCACTAGCCAAGCCGTTGCTCGAACAATGCTCAGGGGTCGCAAGGTCACGCCTGCCGGCACCTGGCTGCAGAACCCCGACAACAAGGACAAGAGCTTTCTCCTCGAAAGACTGCCCATTGAGCTTCGCTACGACATTTATGATGAGGTCCTCTCAGACATGAATCCCAACATAAGCTACGTGACTGTTCGCTATGTTCAGCGACGACGATGCTGTGCCATGACTCTTGGCACCATGAGTAAGGAGTCCAAGTGGCGTTGGGGCGACGATCTCATCGAGGCCATCCCCGAGATGCGTCAGCTCGTTGAGCGACACATTGGCACGCACCGACAGATCGCGCAAAGACCTCTCAGCACCGTCCGCAAGAACAAGGACCTGGCTGTGTATTGCTTCGAGCCGAGTCACACGGCTGTCGATTGGCGGCTAGTCATCAACAAGGCGGCGAGCATTCGCACGCTGGGACCCGATGTTCGCAACATTGGCATCCGCATCGACGGCAACCACGCGGGCGGACTCAAAGGTCAGAACTACTCTTCGTCGCACCGCTTGTGCGGCCCTGGATTCAAATGCGACTCAATATGCCCCTCGCAGCTGGTTGACTTCATCGACAACTTTTCACACGTGAAACATGTGTACCTGCTTATCATGCTGCAGGCCCACCATATGCGGGTGGGTAAGAGCAAGGCGAATGTACGCAGCCTCATCAAGTATCTTGTTGGTATGTATTGTTCCTCGATGACCTGATGGCTGGAGACGAGTTGGTGCTGGGTAACTGACCGTGACACTAGGCCCAAGCAAATCTGATGATCGTGCCAAGTTCGAAGACCGCTCGCGCGTATGGGTTGAAATCAAGGCGGAGGAGGGCAAGGCGGAACTGACCGAAGAAACGTATTCCACCTTCAGGGTCGCGCGTCAGGCCATGGGCCTGCTGTCACGCAACACCGGCATGCATCGGAGCCTACCGCTTTCGAATCGCAAGGAGATCAAAGTCCGGGTCCTGGTCACGTCGTTTTACCTCCAGTAAGCCTCAGACAGCCTTCCTACAAGAAGAGCAAGTGGGGGCTCAGGAGAACATCAGCAAGCATGCTTGAGGCACAAGAGGACATTTAGGCATATCAGCTTTACTTGCTTACGTTGGCAGCAAAGCAGGCGGGCGCTTTGGGGGAAAGGTAGATTATACAACAGCTCTCAGTAGAAGACAGGACGCAAATTCAATATCTTATGCTCTCATCTGCAACAAATCTTGGACATGACTTCGCCATAAGAGTTCAAGGCCGTTAGCACTAATTTCCAAATGACAGAAATCGGTCTAGGGTGGAGACATTCGGCACCGACATCGGAAGTCATCGCCGAACATGTCCGGCCCTCATTCCCGACGATCCTCGACACAACGCCAAGCCATCAAGGCTCTTCAAGCCAGTCAACCGCTTACCACCCCATACAAAAGACTGCATGTTGTTTTGTATCATCCCTTCCACGTCACCATGGTTCAGTCAGCACCCAGAGACAAGGCCGGCAGGACGATGACGCAGCTTCGCGAAGGCGTGAGCGATGGGCTGGGCGCCCTCAAATTGGTACGTCTGGCCGTCTGTCTTGACGGATAAGGCCCTCGGCTGATATAGGAAGTACAGGCGCTGTCGACAACGGCCCCGAAGCTGCTGGTGTCGTGGCTCTATGTGCCCGTCGGCATCATGGTGATGCTTGCATTTTGTTTCGCCGTCCACGTTGGTCTGCGTGCCGCAGGCGTGTCTTTTCTCTTCATCTGTCGCTTGCCTGGTGCTTTTGTTTGCTGTGCTTTTGCTTTCTGAATTGGCTGTTGGCGCGCGAAAGACGAAATTCGTCGTCGACTTGATCGACGTGCCTGTGAGCTGCTCCCTGTGGAACGAAACTTGCTGCGGAGCTAACGGAACGCAGGCGGGCTGGTCCCTTCGCTGGATCAACGTCATGTTTACGCCGTCTTTCATCCTTTTACCCCTGAGTCCAGCCATTGGAATCATGGAAGTTCTGAAGATCATTGCTGTGTTTCGTACGTACCACATGCGTGCTTCGTTGGAATCTCACTGACCCCCTTCAGTTTTGGGCTTCCTTGCCATGATGGCCCTGGCTGCATATCTCACGCGTGGCATCCAGCTTGTCACCGGTTCTTCAAAGCGAGCCATCGCGGAGCGTGCTGAAGAGATGGGGAACGAGACGGATGAGATCCCCTTGGCTGCAGCACCTCGCGGCGAAGAATCATCGTCGGCGCCAACATCTGCACCCATTTCAGCTGTCCCGTCGTCCGTATCTTTGAACACCCTCGCCCCCTTGCCACCTTCGCGCAACGCCTCTCATGTTTTTCTCTCGGACACTCTACGCTCCGGTGGTCACCATCTGAACGAGACTTCAGCTCTCAATGTCTCTCCCTCGCTGCCGCCGCAGGTTCCCCTTCCACATCCACGGACACAGATCTGGGCCGCTTGGCTCACCCACCACAGCGACCACCTCACATACGGTGCCCTCTTGCTGTTCGCTGGCATTCCGCTGTATTATAGTTCGGTCTATGCCATGCCCCTCCAGCTCAGCGCCACAATCCTGGCTTACTTCGCCGCCCTAGCCATTCCCCTGAGCTGGCGTCAATACATCCACCCGGTCCTCGTCACAGCCCTCATCAGCGTCCTCACTCTCTGGGCGCTCGCCGGCGGCGGCCCCTCTCCAAAGCCCTGGCCCCCTACCGAACTGGCGCCACTTACCTCCGCCTCTGGTCCGGCGACGCAACGTCCGCCCTCCCCGGCGCCGGCGACATGCTCGCCACCGTCCTCGACGCCTCCATCGTCTCTCTCGCGCTGCCCATGTACCAGTACCGCCGCGAGCTGCGCGCCCACTTCCTCGCCATCGTCCTGCCGAACCTCGTCCTCGCCGTCGCGAGCCTCTTCTGCTACCCGGTCGTCTGCTACGCCATCGGCATCGAGGCCCGGCGCGCCCTCGCCTTTGCGTCGCGAAGCCTGACCCTCGCGCTGGCAATCCCGGCAACAGAGAACCTAGGCGGCGACGTCAATGCCGTGGCGGCGCTGGCCATCTTCAGCGGCATCGCGGGCGTTCTCATCGGGGAGAGGATGTTGCGCTGGATGCGGATTCCGGAGGGTATGTCCTTCTTCTACTTCCTCTCCTCTCCTTTCTCTCTCTCTCTCGCGCGCTCGAGAACTGACTGTTACAGACGATTATGTCACGAGAGGTGTCACGCTTGGGGCCAACTCGTCGGCGATTGCCACGGCCGTGCTATTGAGGACGGACCCCCCGCGGCGGCGCTGTCGAGTCTAAGCATGAGTTTGTTTGGCACCATGACCGTGTTGCTGACGTCCATTCCACCGATCGCCGGGGTTGTGCGGTCATTGGTGTCGCTATAGTCATGGCTGTGGTAGAAGACTGCTGGCTTCTGCAGGTTGGGCAATAGTTTCTGGTGTATGCAGAGTCTTTATTTTTTTTGGCACTGCTAGCAAATGATGTTCACGAGTCCACGCTTTTGGTCTATTTTCATGATCTGGCAAGGCCCAGCTATACCCTGCTATTCAGGGACCACCCCTTGGCGAGTCCCCTCGAGAGGGCAAGAAACAAGATGCCAATAGCAAGAGTCGCGCCGGCCCATCCCCATGCTCCGTCATAGCCAAACTCCCTTCGCAGCGCGCCGGCGATCGGAGGGCCAAATAGCAGCGCAAAGGACATGACCGTGAAGGCCATGCCGAACCTCGTGCCGATATATGCCGGATCGGGCGTCAGACGCACAAAGATGGTGGGCTGCAGGGCAAAAAAGGTGCCGACGACGAAGCCGTAAATGACCGCCAGGGTGATGAGGCCCGCCGAATTCTGGGCTGCCATGAAGCAAAAGGCCGAGAGGCAGAGGGTCGCCGTGGCCATGACGGACATGTTCATGGCGCCTACCTGGGCGGCGAAGAAGTTGGGGACGATGCGGCCAAAGATGGACGATGCGTTGAGGATGGCGAGGATGTAGGTGGCGAGGCCGGCGCTCACTATGCCGTTGTCGAGGGCGAAGCTCTGGATGTATACGAACGGGGTGTAGATGCCTAGCAGGACAAAGACGCAGGCTGCGAGGAAAGCCAGGTACGGCATATCGTGAGTGACGGAGCGGTCGACAAAGGCGCGGCGCTTCGCGGAGACTTTTGGCGTCTCGAGGGCCATGACGGCGATGCCCATGGTCACTAGACAGATGAGAGCTACTGTCCGAACAGCCCAGGAGAAGCCGACGGCTTTCTGTAGATTCCGAAATACAACGGGCAGGATGAGACTGGTCATCTTAGCTGGTCATCCAGATCTTCATATTGAGAAAAGAAAAAGGACGACGTACCCTCCTACACCACTACCTGATGCGGCCACGCCGTTCGCCAAGGGTAGGTTGCGGTCAAACCAGAGTGAGGGCAGAGCAACGCCGAGAACGGCAAGACAGCCCATGCCGATACCGATGACAACGCCTTGAGACAGTAGGAGCTGCCACAGCTTGGTCGAAAAGCTCTGCGCAACGGTCCCCAGCACGATGAGTAACGAACCGAGCCACAGTTGCTGGCGGGAGTAGCCCAAGTCATAGACCGGGCCGGCCACGAATCCCAGAAACACCATCAAGAAACTCTGGAGAGACCCAATAGTTGATATCTCGAAGGGGGTGTGGTAGCGGAGAAGATCCTTCTCATAAAACGCCTGGAAGCTGCCGAAACTCGAGATGAGCCCTGGAGGCGTCAGCATGAAGGCACATCATATAACGACTCTCGTCACCAAAGGTTTGGCTTGAGACATCTTTAAAAAAATCCAGAACTTACCCCAGGTATTGAAGTAGATGAAAAACGCCCCAAGCACTTGAAGCCATGCCTTCAGGCCCTTGTTTGGGCGCTGCTGCGGCTTTGGGGGTTGTTCTGCTGGCACGGCGTCATCTGGCACTCCCATTTTTGGTTCATTGTGCATCAGCACTTCTCCAGCTTGATCTCCGTCATGTGCAGACGGCATACTCAGTTTTGACCAGGTTTGCTTCAATCCAAAGAGTACGACACATAAGGCCTCCAGAACCCGGCGTTCCAGGTACAGACGTCCACCTGTTGCGGTAGAATTCTGTCGACCATTCGGCCTTGGATTATTCCCAGTCAGGTAAGCTCATTAATGATTCCTGATTGAGCCGGGTCTCGGCACTGCAAGTTTGTGAAGAGCATGGAACACCCAAGGCGGTCGGTCGGTCTCATCACATCATCACGAAAAGTGGCGACGGAAAACGCCCAACTCGGAAGGTTGCATTGTGGAACTGGCTTGCCCCCTGGCATGTCCTGCGACCCCGTTTAATAGCAGCACCGCCTGTGACGCCAGCCTGCTGCCCATGGAATCCTCGATCAGAGAGACAGGCGTGCATATCATGCACACTGACATGTGTAGAGCATGTGTGGGGGGGGGGGAGCTAAATGGTGTCTTCAGTAGGCCAGCTGCAATACCTGGTGGTGTGAGAACCTAGTCCCATGGCAGTGAAGGATTAGGCCAGGATCTCGCTCGCACACCGAGTCAAGATGCCGAGGCTTGGCAAACCGCGCGGCAATCTCCTTACCACTAACAGCGCCACTGACATCGTTTGCCTCAACGTAGTTGCGGATTTTCCCCACGCTTTAGTGCTGTTTTGAAATGCGCGAAGAGGTTGCGCGAGGTGCATTAGAAGCTTACTGCTAGCACCCAGAGCTATGTGCCTCGGCCAAGGCATAATGGCTAATGCTGATGGCGGTAAGGGCCTTTCCCCACGGCGACGAGACTTGGCAGAGCTTAACTCCTCGGAACCAGAGTTAGGATCACTGTAAGCGTTTCTATACGTTCGAGCTGTTTGGCTTATGTTCAGAACCGTCAATCCAGCATAGCTCGAAGAACGCTTCGGAATGCTTCCCGATGCAAAGGGCAAGCAATCATCGGCGATTGTCACTGTGGAGGCAAAGCCCAGCGAAGAAATGGCCTAATCATCAAACGGCCTCTAAGCCACTTCAATTTGCCGCTTGACTCGTGCTGTCTACGTCAAGTATGAAAGATAATTCCTCCACTCCTGGTCGTTGTTCCCAACGAAACCGACGTACAAGTCGGGCCGGACAATGACCACATAGTTGTCTGTTGGACGAACCCAGTTGGCCCAGAAAACCTCAACGCCTGGAGAAACATCGGCGTGCGCCTCAGCACCCTCTGGCCGGGGGAGAACCCTGAATGTGCGGGCGACGCCGTCGCTGATAGCCTTGTTCGCTTCCCCACCGGCCCGCGACTCGGGCCTTCCGACGTGCAGAATCAGGTGTCTGCCGTACGAGAGAAGAGAGTACAACCGCTTGGCCTCAGCGTCTAGCGTCGGCATCAGGTACAGATCAGGGCAACGGTGCCCCGCCGTCCAGATGCCAACGGAGGAGTCGTGGATAAGCTTTGAGCCGATGCCATCGTAAGATACCCCCATGCCTGAAGCATAGCACGTCAGTTCAGAGAATTACGTATCGTGCGACAACAAAACTGGAGAGGTCGGGCAGAAGAAAGCGAAGACGAGAACTTGGGCTTACCAGTGATGTAGCCGGCGTTCCTCTCAATTGCGGAGACATAGCTCTTCGCAGTCCGCACAGTCTCCCGAACCAGGGTCGCTGCGACGTCGATCACACCCTGGGCAACGACTCGTCTTTCGGAGTCATAGCTCTTTATCAGATCCTGCGCCGCCGTCTTGTTGGCCGTCTTGTTGGTGAGCACATATGCGAGTCGCCATGCGAGACCGAAGGCGTCGGCAATACCCGTGTTGAGGCCCTGTCCGCCATTGACCGAGTGGACATGAGCTGCGTCGCCAGCCAATATGACGCGGCCTTGGCCTTCTTTGGTAACAAACGTTGAGGCGATGCGCTCCTTGACTGTTGTTCGGCGTTAGCGATTTCAGACCTCAGAGGCTTGTTTCTCCTGACGTCCACGCGAGATGTCAGATCGATTCGTGTACCCACCTTCAAACGTACTGAACCACTCGGTCCAGACAAAGTCGACCCGGTGTGGCGCCATGTGTGCCCGGATCGACTCCTTCGCCCTCTCCTCGGTGATTTCTCCCTCGAGAAGGACATAGAAACGAGCCAGGTCCCGCTCCCGCGGGATCCACGCCACGCGGCTCTCCTGGTTCAGCTGAAACGTGACGATCTCCGAACAGACGGGGAAATCAGTATCGATGAACGTGTCCAGAACGGCCCACGTCATCTCAGGCTTGGTGCCGGTAAAGTTGACGCCCAGGGCCGTCCTGATCGTCGACCGTGCACCATCTGCGCCGACCACATAGCGACTGCGAATCGTTCGGCCGCCACTCGTCCCTACGATGACGTCCTCGTCACCCTCATTGATACTGGTAACGTGTTCACCGTAGAGCACGGGTGACTTCATCCGTGATGAGAGAGCCTTTTCCACCAGAGGCTGGCCGAGCATCAAGAAGTTTTTGCGATGTGTGTGCTTCAAGCTCGTCCACCAGTGGCTCTGACGAGACTTGAATTCACCATCAGCAAAGGTCGAGCTGGCTGGCAGGAGCGTTAATGAATTAATTGTTCAAGGCTCCCTTGGGAAGTGCGCAAGCTTTATCTTACTGTTACAGGTGATACCCTCGGGGAGAAGCTCGTCAAGGATACCGACGACCTCGAGGTACTGTTGCGTTCGGGCGTTGAGAGCATCAGCCCTGCCAATGGCAAGAGGTGCTGCCTTGGCATCTACGGCTGTTAGTCTTGTACTTTTTCTTCCGCAGCTTCATGAGGAGATTCCAACGCACCGAGAATACACACGTTTACTCCGAGCTGCTCGCACAGATATCCTGTGAGGAGGCCTGTCGGGCCGCCGCCAACGACCACAAGATCCACGTTGATTTCGTCTCGCGAGATTGAGCCCATGATGATAGAAGTGTTGTGTTGTTTCTTGCAAGTTCACACGCTGGTAACCTCAGAGGCGTCTTTGAAAGCAAGGTCATTCAGTTTCTGACAGCCAATCTAATACGGAGATGCTGTGAGCAGTATCGTGAGCCATCTATGTGGCGTCGTCGCATGAGTCGTGCTTGTGACGTTGCCCTACTTGAGATTGAGGAACCTCAACCCAGACTGGACATGACGCCGAAGTCCGCAGTGGTATCGCCAACCCGATGTGGAGAGTTCCGGCACGCGGATCCCGCGTTGGGGGTCCCTGGGGTGGCCAGTTTGAACCCTTGGTCCATTCGTATTACACCGACGAGGGCCTAGTTTCAGGGCCAACATGATCTTCATCTTAGATCACGCATGCCAGGGAACACTGCGATGTGCCCGCCAAGGTTCATATGCACATCACTCGCACCTTGGGTTGATCCCAAACCGCAACCCACTGTAACCCTGGTGCGCTTTAGGAAGGTGTCCCGCCGCTAGATTCAGTCACGGGCGCTTCCGGTCCGGGAAGGTCTAGCGGAAATATATCGGAACGCCGAACCCAAGTACCGCGCGCGCCGATCACATTCGGAAGGTGGGACGATACCAGCCGTTCGCTGCCCATCTGGAGCTTAGTTTGTTCATGTCACCTTCGAAGATCCTCTTGCACGTCACACCTCCAGGTTCCAGGCTCAGGCTCCGGCTCTTGGTCTGTGTTGCCACTCACAGTTGGCCGCAAGGCTTGCTAACCCTATCCCTGACACTGCGTTTTTTGAGGACCCCCACAGCACCACCCTCTCGGAGGAGACGAAGGCAGATTTTCCTGTCACGGCAAGTTTGCCGGCAACTCCATTCAGGGGATGACGCTGTGGATGTCTCCGAGTTGCTGGTTGGATCCCATTGTGGCGCGAGTGACACCCACCTTTGACTCGTCTTCCTTGACAGGCTGTGAAGCCCTATGAGGCTTGTGGGCCATGTTGTGCCTAGCCGCTTTACTTCAGGTAAGCTGGGTGTCTTTGGGCTCATGGGAGGGATGTCATGCCCTCGGATTTCAAGCAGAGTAGCAACTTGTTCATATCCATTATACATATGTGACATTTTACTTACCCTTACCCGACTTGGTGCGCTGCCCCAGACCAGACAAACTGACACTTCATTTTCTATTCCCTCAATACTCATCTCCAGAGAGCTGTCTCAGAAGCTCATACAGGTCCTGTTCAGAAATCATGCCTTCCCTGGTAGAGGCCCGTCCCAGGCAGCCGTCGCCCGAACTCAAACTGCTGTCAAGTCTCGACACTGGTTTCGGCGAAGAAGGCCTGGAAACTGCTGCCAAGGTCCTCGACGTTATCTGCCAGTATCGGCTGAGAAGGGCTGAGCACTCAGAGGTCCCTGATATCGAGGGCAGGCTAGGCTTTTTGTCCATGGTCTATGGACATGTCAGGGCCAACTCCCCCATCCTCATGTGTCTGCCCGCCTTCCCTTTCAAGTCGCCCAACTCTCGAGACAAAGTCCTGGGCCGCCTGCCCGATAAGGCCGAGGAGTTTGCCCTCGCTCATCTCAATGGTCTCTGTGCCGCCATCGGAGATATTTATGCGCCAGGCGCAAAGCTCACAATCGTTTCCGACGGACTGGTATATAATGGTAAAACTCCAGTGCTCCCCTAAATCATCGCCCCAACCGCGTGGCTAACCAGTTATCCTCAGACCTGCTCAGCGTGCCGGACCGCGATGTCTGGGCCTACGGTGAGGCACTTCGTCAGATGGCCTGGGCCAAAGGGTTCGAGCACATCAGATTCTCGCGGCTCCAGGATCTCGTGCACCTGCCCAACCTGCCCAGCTCGCTGAATGAGATCACATATGTCGCAAACGCCACCAACTTCCGTCGACAGCTTCTCAACACATTCGGCCGCAGCGACTACGACCCCTCAACAGAAATTACCAAGAACGAAGACACCTGCCAAACATATAGAGGCTATATCAAGTTTCTCGAAACCGATCTTGCGCTCGTTTATCCAGTCGGCGAGGACAACGGACGTTCCAAGTCCAGCTACAAGAAGGGGATCGAGTACATCTCGAAGCAGATGCTCCAGCGCGGTGATGTGCGTCCTCCTTCCTCACAGAGTGTCGCTTCTTGGTTTAACTGACCTGGTCATGGTAGGCCTTTGCGCGTGCTGTCCGCGAAAACTATCGCGACCACTTGCGCCTCTCCATCCACCCCTCCACCGGCCGTACGAAGCTCTCCATCAACACCCTGCCAACGACAACGAGCTACACCACGCCATGGCACTGCAGCATCGCATTCAGGCTTGACGGCTCCTCGACCACTGGTCCTAGGGCCGTGTTCGACAACGACCCCGCTTACGAGCTGGTTCTGGAGGATGGCAAGCCCAGCTACTACCGCGAACGGAGCGATCTCTTCGCGTGGAATGCGGGCGTCGCGTACGAGCCTCTGTACCCATCCGGTTTGATGATCCGACCCGCGGCAGGGCCCAAGACTCTATCCATTCGCAATGTCGACGCCGCCAAGGTGCGCGCGCTATCGGAGCGCAACTCGCCCGTCATCCTGCGCGGTTTCACGGAAACGAGAAATCGTGACCTGTTCGTGGACAAGGCTCACGAGTTCGGAACGCCGCTGCCTTGGAAGTTCGGACTCGTGCTCGAAGTCAAGGACCAAGGAGCCGACTCTCGGGGCCTCAACAATGTCCTCTCAGCCGAATGGATGCCTTTCCACTTTGACGGGCTCTTCAAGACGGAGAAGAAGGTGCTCGAAGACGGCACGGAGAGAATGCTGCCCAACCCTCCAAAGTAAGTCCCTGTCATCAAGGAGATTGCACTGAAAACCCGGTGAAAGACAAGAGGCTCACATGCGCATGGCCACAGGTTCCAGTTCTTCACCGCCGTCACCCCCTCGCCAAAAGACACAGGCTTCACCCTCTTCACACCCTCGCGCCTCGTCTTCCAGAATCTGCCCACCTGGCTGCCGCTTGCGCGCCTCTCGCAGCTGACCTGGTGCGTCTCAACCTCATCCTTCAACGCCACAACCATGACGGGCCTGCCACTCGTCGTCCCCCACCCGACGACGGGCGAGCCCTGCTTCCGCTACCACGAGCCCTGGCCCCAGAGCAAGACGACGTTTGACGCCACCGACGTTGCCATCGAGGGCGTCTCAGCCGAGGAGAGTGCAGAGATCTGCGCAGTCCTCGACGCGCTGTGCACGACAGGC